AAGGTAGAGCACTGAAATGTAATGATAACATTACCTTCTCTTGAATGTGACTGACTTTAATTCTCACAATAGATCTTACATAACACCCATTTCTACAGATGAACCTATTCAATTCCAAAGAAGGGTTTTTTTTTACTAATTTTATAATAAATTGACCATCAGATACACTATTTGTCGATGTTGTTCAGCAAGAATATTTTCCCCATCGTTTATTTATTATGCCACTCCCAACATGATTGAATTATGCAAGTTTAAAGCACTGTAATTTAAATGAAGGGTAATCCATTTTGTTTCATATTGGCTGTCAATTGCACCTTTATTAGCGGTATTTCCCCAAATAATATGATTAATTAGATAACTTCAAATACATAAAGCCTCTGTTCTCATGTTTAAAACTCTAAAACGTCTACAATAATGAAGATTACTCATGCTCATGTTGAAAGATTACTAACAAGCCTTTTATATTAAAAGATTGGAGCAAGATCTAGAAAAGAAAACAACAATGAAAACCATCAGAGTGGAACTGGATTCTATTCAGTTCATCACAACTAGAATTTTCTTATGCTGTATAACCAGGACTGGTGTTCTCCCCCACACTCTCAGGAGTGAACGTAATAAAGTCACGCATCAACATTTTATAGGTAACAGGGCTCCAACCCAAGCAAATGTTCAGACACTTAGCCATGTAGTTTTCCCACCACACATCATTTTCTCCTGAGACTTGGAAATTATCAATATAGATGGAATCACTGAAACCAAGAGAATGTAAAAGATATCCAGGGTCAAAGTATAGACAGAGCAACACATCTAGGAGACAACTTAAAATTAAGAGAAAGTAAAGATAGGAGATGCTTTTTGTGCGAAGGGGCAAAATTTAATCTGAAATCTAGAAAGGCAATAAAAGTAATGTGGAATCCAAGGAAAGAGAGGTTTTTAAAGGACTGGAAAGCTCTTAACAATAAGTATTGACAAGAGATCATGGATTAAGTGGATCTCTGGTTTCTTCTGAGGACAGTTATGGTAGGGTGATTGGTGTGAAAATAATTTGATCCACACAGAATGGGAAAAAGTACAAGTGGGTAAGTTTCTATTATAATAGAAAAGAGTTATGTTAATCTAAGTTAAATATTTTGAAATGGAGGTGGAGTCGTGATTTATGACTGTATAGAGAAGGCTGTATAAAGAATTTCAATCAACATAAAATCTCATAGTCTTAAATTATTGACAGTATCATTGCTATTATTAAAACAAAATTAGTTGCAAAGATATGCAATCCTTCAATCGATGTGTATGCTTTAGAAATCAAACTACTGCCAAAATTGAAGAAAATGTATTTCTTTTTTAAAAAATATATATTTTTATTGATGTCAGAGAGGAAGAGAGAAACATCAATGATGAGAGAGAATCATTGATTGGTTACCTCCTGTGCCCCCCCCCCCCGCCCCAATGGGGACTGAGCTCACAACTGGGGCATATGCCCTGACCGGGAATCTAACCATGACCTTCTGGTTTATAGGTGGATGCTCAACCACTTAGCCACACTGGTCAGGCAAAAAGATATTTCTTAATCTACCTTATAGATTCCATCTGCAATTTTTATAGCTTAGAATTAGGTTATTTGCTTCAATAAGAGAATCCAACCTCTTTTAATAATGAAGTTCTTTTTCCTTTAGCCTTAGCACTAAAGAGAAGCTGTATATTACACTGGTCCAGCATCAAGTAGAAAAGTGGAAAGGAGACATGAGCATGTGTGTGTGTGTGTGTGTGTGTGTGTGTGTACTTCGGAGTGGGCGGGGTGGGGGGTAGGCGGGTGAAGGAGGAGCAGTGGGAGGTGGGAAGAGTAAGAAGGAGAGAAGGAGCAGCATTTTCAAGGTATTTGTGTAGCAGTTCTCCATGGCTTCATTAATCAATACTTATTTGAGAAGCCACTTAAAGCAGAAGGTACTAAAAATTAATTTTAAAAAAATGACTTCTATATTACCACAACAGAATGCTATTTATGTGCCTAGCATAGTGCTAGGAGCTCAATAAATGTTTGGTCAAGAAAAAAAATAAATGCATAAATGTTGCAAGAGGGGTTCGGGGGAGGAAAGGGGGCTGCTGGTGACAGTTGAAGTCAACTGATAACAATACCATGCTTCTTGTAATTATGACCATTTTAAGTTTACATAAATGAAATCTTAACATGTAATTTTATTTTCCAGGCTTTCCCAGGATTGGTGGTCAGATTGCACCATCAAAGGCATCTTAATTTGCTCTTAGCATCCCAGCCCCTCCCTCGGCCAGGCTTTTAACTAATTCTCCAGGTGATTTAAGGAGATTAGGAAGTGGGCCTGGAGAATGATCCTACCTGCTTGGGAGAAAAGTGCTAATGAAAGGTCACAGCCGAGTTCCCAGGGACTGAGACCACTGAAGCTAATAGCATGAGTCATCATTAACTTTACTGATGCCAAGTCATGCAAGTCTGTGAAGTTCATACAGAAAGAGAAATTTGGATCAATACGACTTTATGCTACCATGGAACTTGATAATTACTTTCTAAAAATTAAGCTTGTAGAGCTTTTTAGTTCCTCAAAAATATTCTCTGTTCTGAAAGCCTGCCTTAGTCTTTGTACCTCCAGTGTTTTCCTTTAGCAATGTTTTTGTTGTTGTTGTTATGTTACTGTGGAGGTTGGATACCTACATGGTTTATATAGATATATTGGTTTCTATTTAACAATGGCCTGGTATGTCGTAATAGGATTGATATTTTAAATCCACTTCTCTGAATGTCTATAACAGGAAGTCACAAGCATATTGCAGTTCTTTGCTTGCAATCTGATGTTGACCTGGCCATGCCAGGAGGAATTGGGCTATGTTGTTTAGTTGGTAAATGAAGCATGCGAGCCATTGCTGTTTCTCTTTTTATTGCATGTCGACTCCACAGAGACTCAGTGAGTGCATGGAACACTACATTCATGGGAGAAAATATAATAGACTTGCACATCTCCGTGTGAAAAACCTTAAATAAAAATACCCAATGAAATATTTTATACCCTCACTATGTCAAGAATTTTTGAGGCTTTAAAATAAACCAGGGAGTCAAGAGCATTTATTTATGAACTTAATACCATAGAATGCAAGTTACTTTGCACATAGAGTCAGTCATACCCATTAGCCTTTAACTGCTAGCAGAAAGGATTTTTAGATGTGATTAGAAAGAGAAAGTGGAATTCAATTCTTCAACAGTGGCAGAAAAACCTAATTTTCTTATTAGCATTCATGTAATCATAAAATCAAAATCTGGTTTCATATTTTCAGAATTTTCTTAAAATCTAGCTTATGTAAAGTAGAATATTAGAAATCTTATAGTCTAATCTCTAGGTTCCAGGCTTACAATCCTTTCTAAAATACTTACAATTCTATTCTTCTGTAGATGATTTTTCTCTCCCAAAAGATGTGAATTCTTAATAGTTGTTGTGAATGTCTGCAAATTAAAAACTCATTATTTCACCCTACCCAGTTTCGCTCAACAGTTAGGGCCTGAGGACTGAAGGGCCACAGGTTTGGTTCAGGTCAAAGGCACATACCTCGCTTGCAGGCTCCATCCCTGGCCCTAGTCAGAGTGTGTGCAGGAGGCAACAAATTGATCAATGTGTCTCTCTCACATCTATGTTTCTTTCTCTGTGTCTCTCCTCCTCCCTTCTATTCTCTCTAAAAATCAAGGGGAAAAAATCCTTGGGTGAGGATTAACAAAAAAATAAAAATATGAACTCATTATTTCATTTCATCTTAAGAACTTGTAATAACAATGGCTTCTATTGTTGTATCCTTCAGTGTTTTGATTGAGATCTTATGTGTGTACACTGCATTCAGGTTTTTTCTCCTTAATTATACTCACAAGTTAGACCTATATAGTACTTGACTTGAGTACTTCATTTTTAAAAAGCAATTCTGATTATCAAGCACTTTTCAAATGAGATGTTAATTATAAATATTTATAACAAGGACATTGCCAAATGTGGCTTCATAGGGTAAGACGAGTCAGATTCTCAACATGACACATTTATAATATCTCTATTAGGCTTGTGTTCTAGAAATATGCTATATTAAAATTAATGTTAATATGTATAAGAAAGGTAGGTGACAACATATTTTAAGTGCTTCCTGGATGGTCAAGTCCCATAAAGCCATAGTTTGTTTTAAGTCTTTAGTGAAAATCTCCCTGAATAAATCCAGTGCTAAGCCACAAGTCCTCTCAGCCCTTCTAACAGAGCCCCGGGGTTACATCACCCCCTACTCCAGTTACCAAATCTGTAACAGGACAACACATTAGCAACCTGGAAATTTCTTAACAGAACATTTAAATCAGGTACTTTAATGTAACAATAAGTGCCCTTTTATCTTTGAAAAAGTTGTTATTTCTGAGAATTGAGCAGGAGACTTCGGAATCTAAAAGCAACAGATCAAATTTGAACTGGAAGATAATTTCCAACAGCTCGTATTGGCAGTAGGGTTTCTCAGGCTTTAGACTCTTGGGGAAGGAACATCACAGTTTCTGAAGAGCAATAGGATAATGGCACGAAGCACACAATTTCAAATCAGCCAAAAGGAAGAAAATAAAAGAAAGACCAAAAATTATGCAAGTATCCTTTTTTGCTTGATTTTTAATGAGAAACTAATGAAAATTAACCTCTAAGTCATTAATGTATCATGTCTATATTCACTAGAACGGAATAGCTAATATACAATGACATGAACACAAGCGAGATATACATCCTATGGGTTTTCTGGACAATTACTGAGTGATAGTGGTATAATAAGATGAGTACTGGTTTTAGTGATCAACTAAAAACGTTTTAACAGAAGCATCTTTTGGATCATTTTGGAAAACTCTACAATGAAATCTCAACCTTCCTATGCACATTTTCATTTCTATTGAGTAGTTAATGGCAGGAATTTTTTAAAAAAGTGTTTTGCTTTCTATGCAATAGAATGAAGTAATTAAGAATGGGAATCTGGTGCTCGCTTCGGCAGCACATATACTAAAATTGGAACGATACAGAGAAGATTAGCATGGCCCCTGAGAAAGAATGGGAATCTGGAGACCGAATAATCTCAGTTAAAATTCTAGGTCTATCTGTTATGTGATATGTGACCTAGTTAAGTGACTTATATCTCTGTGCCTCAGTATCTTCATTTGGGTAAAATGATAATAAAAATGTTTAGTTTTTAGAGGGACCTTGAAATTTAAATGAAATAATATATTTAAAGTGTTTAGTATCTGGAATATAATAGCTCAACATATATTAGCTATATAGATAATTATAATAATTACTAGGGGCCCAGTGCATGAATTCGTGCACCTTGAAAGGAACTGTGGGCTGCGAGGCTGTGGTGGGCACAGGGCAGGTCTCAGCCCATCCTCTGTGCCCCCGACCAGCCCCTCCCGCCACAGCCCCTCCCCTGGGTCCCCTGTCTGCCAGCAGCCCCACTCCTGCCCCTACTGCTCCCATGCGCTGATAGCACCAGCCCTGCTCACACCCGCTGATGGTGCAGAGCGATTGGGGCCAGCGCTGTCTTTGGGTGAGAGCGGGATCACGACCGGCAGTGGGTACAAGTGGGGCCGTCACCAGCAGCGGGTGCAAGAGGCGGCTGCTACCCCTGATCGCCCCTCAGGAGCAGGGGGAGATGGAAAAGCCCTGAGGGACAATCAGGGCCAGCAGCCACTGCTCGCACATGCTGATGGCGATGCCTAATGATCGGGGCTAGCACTGGGTGCCGGCAGCAGGTGTGAGCACCTGGCGGGACCACGGTGCATGGGAGCAAAAAATTTTCAGTAACCACCAGAGGAATGACCTGAAAACAGTGACTGGCGCCCCGCCTTGGTCTGGTGCCCCCGCTCACCTGCTCCACCATCCTGCTGCAGCCTATGCCCACCATGTTCCACCTCTGCCACCTGCTGCCGATGCCTGCCATGGTCCACATTCGCTCCCTGGTGGTCAGTGCACATCATAGCAATTGGTTGTTCGGTTGTTTGGTTGTTCTGCCGTTTGGTCTATTTGCATATCAGCCTTTCATTTTATAGGATTATTATTAATCAATATCATTACAGCAGAAATAATCATAAAGTGAAATAGTTGACTTGCCTCATTCATTCTTTTCAAACTCAATCTAGTCTTAACTTTTTGCTCATGCTATTCCTACTGAAGCAGATATGTTTTGTTTGTTTGTTTTTTTCATTGCAAGTGAATTTCAGGGGCCATTTTGCTGTCTCTTTTTTTCTGAAAAGTCTTTCCTTATGTATTTGTTAGGATAGTTACCCTGCCACAGATAAACCCCAATATATCAATGGCTTAACTAAATAGAAAGTTATTTCTCACTCATTCTTGTTCTATTGGTGTTGTGAGAGGAGAAACAGGAATTTACTCCACACAGTCATTCAGGCTCTTTCATCTTCAACACATGCTTTCAGGATGATTCTGGGAATCCACATCTAAATGAAAGATGGAATATAGGAGCAACAAGGGTTGTTCAGGAGTGACATGCATCATTTCCACTGACATTTTATTGGCCCAAACTCAATGACATGGCTACATCAACTGCAAGGAAGTCTGGGAATGGCAGTTTAACTAATAGTGTTCTCAAAATGGTTTCAATTAACAGCTTGTCCATTTCTGTCCCAGGCTTTCCTTTTTTAATTTCACTCTTCTCCACCCCCTAACCACCACCACCACTCCAACACATATACTAGTCAGAAAGATAAACCAATTCCCAACCTAATACTGCACCCGGCTCAAAATCAAGATATTAGTATGCTACACATTATTCTCCATCAGAATTTGACATGCTTCCTTATAAACTGTAAACTAAAAGATTATTTATCTATACGCCTCATTCCCAATGAATGATGGTACAATTAAACTATCGTATATAATAAAAGGCTAACATGCAAATTGTCCCCTTGGGAGTTCAACCAACTGGGAGTTTGACCGCTTGCTATGACGTGTGCTGACCATCAGGGGGCGGCGTGGAATGAAGGAAGGCCCCGGCGCGCAGCCGGCAGCCAGGAGAAGGGAGGCCCTGGCTGGCCCTGGTGGCCGGCCAGGCCTAGGGACCCTACCTGTGCACGAATTTTGTGCACTGGGCCTCTAGTCTTTTCAGAGATGAGAATAATAGGAGACACTAAGAAGTCACTGGTCAATAGCAATCAAGAAAACCTTATTGTGTGCCTTATGACAACACCCAGTCTGGATGAGCAGAAGTTACTTAATGAGGCCTCTATTCTAATTTCTGGGAGGAACTGTTTGTGCACATTTCTCCATGCTTCCACCTGCAGGAAGAATTTTCCCATTTAAGTTATTCTTCATGATCCCATGTGAAGCTGGTGATGGGGAATATGCCCTCCCTTTGCAGCCTACCTCCTGCTGGTGCAAGTTTGGAAACTTGATGGTTGTTTCAAATCCTAAAGAATCCAAGATTTATTGTTGCTGTCATTGTTATTGTAGTTGTTTTTAAAGTCTGAACTTCTGATTTCTTTGACAATACAATTCATCAAAAGTTAATGGGCCCTGGCCATGAAAGGTATAGGCTCAATTCCTGGTCAGGGCCAGCCAATCAATGTCTCTCTCTCTCTCTCTCTCTCTCTCTCTCTCTCGCCAAAATTTTTTTTTCTTTTTTTTTTTTTATTGGGCGTCGTGTCCTATTGTTTCCAAACAGGCCTGTATGTTACTATTCACACTTGAAATTCTTTCTTAGGATAATTCGTAAGCTTAATTGATTTGTTTTTATTCTTGCTCCTCCATCCTTTACCCTTCAACCCAAAGGAAACTTTTTTGAAATAAACAGAAATGGGTGGGTTGAGTACTAGTACATTTTAAACCAACTTAATGGATCAAGTAGTTCAATGTATTTTTTTAAGTTATATTCCCCCGTATGTGAGGGCCAGCATCAGCCAAATTTGCCAACACTTTAAATTCCCATTTCCCCCCACTATTCCCTTTCCTTTCTGCTTGCAAACTGATCAACTCTTGACTATCTTCATCTTTAAAAAAAATACCTTGCTAAATTTAGCTATTTGCAAATGTTACAAATGCATTTTCCAATTTCTTCCTCTAGTTCTAAAGGCTCAGTAGATATCTGGTATTATTCACTAATGCCGACAAATTTTCCAAATATTTCCCTGTACATAGCGTCATTCTACATCTTTCAAACTCATAATATTAATTGTCTTGCAGCCTACTGCCCAATTACTAAGCTAGTGCTATGTATTTTAGGTTTTGTTTTGTTGCATCTCAGTTCTGGTACCAATGTATGTGCTAGCTAAGGTAACAGTAGATGCTATAACTAATAAATCTAGAAATATCACTGGCTTAAATTACTGTAAGTTTATTCCTTACTCTCATAAAGTCCTATCAGGTGTAGTCAGTACTGACTACAATCAGCCATTCAGGCTGATAGAAGCCCACGGAAAGAAAGAGAGGAAGATTATATAGGTGATTTTTATGGGCCAGGCCTAGAAGTGATATACAGTTATGGCCAGACTAACTGTAAGAGAGGTTGAGAAATACAGTCTATCGTCCAGAAGAAAAGGGAAATGGGTTTGTTGAATTGCTTACTAGTCCACACTAGTTCAACAAATAAATCTCATTTATTATAAAATGGGAATAATAATAGCTCCTTTGCAGAGAAATTGTGTTGATTAAAGGATATCATTGCATAAGGTAAGGTATCTGTTTTCCCAGATACATATTCCATACTAATTTACTTGATTAACATTATCAGAAGTGAAAGACAATTTGTGTACACATTCTAGAATGAAACATTAAATGCAAGCCTTTAATTCATAATGTCTCCTTGTCCTGATTACTATCAATCAAAGGACACATAATCTTATAAATTTCATCTTTACAGTTAGTGATTCTATAATTCAAATTCACTTCCAATTAAGTCTTTCCTCTCTGAAACTCCATTCTTAGAATTTAAAGCTTTTTATTTTTATTTTATATCACAAAGAACTAGCTTATATCTTAAGTAGCATAACCGAAGATGTTGACAGTTTGATTATCTGAAGGCATCCACCTTGACCGTGCAACAGTGATAGCAGCAGAACAGAAATTAAATTAAGAAGAGATAATCAGAAAAATACAGAGAGTATAATGGAAGTTGTGTTTCACTTATTCATAACACCAAAGTCAGTATTTTGCACTCATTTTATGCTTAATGAACTTAGAAAATATTCCTTTCTACTTGTTTCTTCTATCTGAAAACATTTTTCTGGTTTTTGAAACTATAAATGCATATTTATTAGCAAGGAATGTATTCAAGACCTACAATAATCCCCACGTATCTGTGATTTTGCTTTCCATGGTTTCAGTTACCTACAGTCAACTGCAGTCTGAAAATATTAAATGGAAATTTCTAGAAATAAACAATTCTTATTTTAAACTGTGTGCAGTTCTCAGTAGTATGATGAAATTCTGCGTCATTCTTCTCCTTTCTGCCTGGAACATGAATCATTGCTTTGTCCAGCATCCAACATATCCATGCTATCTACACTTCCCAAATGTTAGTCATTTAGTAGCCATCCTGGTTATCAGGGCCACTATGGTAGTATCACAGTGCTTTTGTATGCAAAATATACAAAGGACTCTCAAAATTCAACAGTAAATAAATAAACAACTTCAATGTAAATAAACTGATGAACAAAATAGATCCAGAGACATAGAAGCATGGAACAGACTGTTGAATCTCATAGGGAAGGCAAGGGGGGCGGAGAGAAGGGGGGGAAGAGATTAACCAAAGAACTTGTATGCATATATGCATAACCCATGGACACAAACAATAAGGTGGTGAAGGCCTGGGGCTAGGGGTAGGGGTGGGATAGAAGGGGTAATGGTGGAAAGAAGGGGACCTATATAACACTTTCAACAATAAAGATTTAAATAAAAGTGGACAAGAAATGTGGACATCTCAACCTATGAATATATTCAGATGGCAAGCAAGCATATGAAAATATTCTCGAATCATATGTCATTAGGGAATTATAAATTAAAATAACGAGATGCCACTACACACATATTACAATGGCTTTTACAAAAGACTGCTGTTGAAGATGTGATGCAACAG